AGCTTTTCCCCATTTATTGAAAGTGTCATCTCTACTTTAAACCAATATCTTGTATGCTCAATATTCTGGACACATCGGTTCTATTGACCATTGTCTGTTCTGTGCCAGGACCAGACTTTTCATTACATTTAATTACATTTTTATAACGCGTATTGGTGTCTGTTCTTTAAAATAAATCTCTTGGCTAGTATACATGTTCTCTTCCGCATACGTTTTAGAATCGGGTTGCTAGGTGTACAAATTTTGTTTTCCAAAAATGTCTGTTGTACCAATGCATCCCGTCCCACGTGCTCTTCTTTGCATGGCAGTGACCTTCCTCTGTTGAGAGGTTAGGTCTTTGTTTTCTCCAGTTGAATCTGGGTGGGCGTCTGACTGGCAGAAGGGACACTGTGACTCCTGAGACTGTCATAAAAGGTAATGTATCTTTTGCCGGGTCCTCCTGGGATGCTTGCTCTTAGATCCTAGCCCCCATTCTGTGATGAAGTCAGTGCCCCCAGGAAGGCCCTCTGGGGTGTGCACCCCTGGTCCCAGCAGACGCCGCCAGCAGGCCAGTGTCCACCACCACCGTGTCTGCCTTCTTGCTCCCCACAGCTGGTGCCGGGTGGAGTGGACGAGCTGTCCAGCAAATCTCCAGAATGTAGATTTGTGAGCGGAGTAAATGTTCTGGACCACTTGGTATTATAGTGGTTTGTTACAAAGCCATGGATAAAACTGGGACACTGATTGAAAAGACTGGAGGTGTTTTGGTTGGGATTGCCTAGAAAAAGTTACAGGTTCATTTGAGAAGAATTTTAGTGATCACGAGTTCTCTCATCTGGGAACCTGGTTTGTTTCTCCATTCTTTATGCCTTTTTTTGTGCCCTTTAGTGATGTGTTGTAATGTTTTTCACAGAAGTCCTGCAGCTTTATTGCTAGATACAGTGTTTGTGGACAGTACGGATGTGGGTTTTCCCTTAAACTGAAGTTCTCAATAGGGAGCCTTTGGGGTTTGTTGTTGTTGTTTTAGGGTTTTGTTTTGTCTTACTTTTGATTATTATCTGTTAAGAAAGTTTCCGGGAGCAGGCTGACACGGTTGAGGATTTTCAGAGTTAGAAGTAAGGCCCTCTGTCGGGTTCTCTCAGTGGCCGCTTTGGGGTTTACAGTCTGCGCCGTGACTCCCGGCTCCTTCCGTCAGTGCTGTTGGGCTGCTTGGCACGCGCTTTCATTTCCCCGCCTTGTGTGTGTTGTGGACCCCACATACGTTGTGACTATTTTTGCTTTAAATAGTCAAGCTGTTTTAAAGAGAGCAAAGGTGAGGAAGGGTGTCTCTCTGCCTGCAGGGCGGCCGCTGCCAGCGCCTCCCGCCTGGGCCCGTCGTGTGGGTCCCGCCCTTCAGCCGGTGCTGCGTCCTTCTCCCCGGAGGCCTTTCCCTTTCGCACAGCGCGGGCCCGCTGGCGAGCAGTTCCTTCAGCTGTCACGTACTGAAGAAAGAATTTTGCCTTCATTTTTGGAAAATATTTCCCTGATAGAGAAGTCTAGTTTGAAGTTTAATTTTCCTTTCAGCACTTAAAGGATATTACTCCACTGTCTTTTGGTTTCTGTTGTTTCTGTTTGTTTGTTTCAGTATATTTTTATTAAAAATACGGCACGCTTCACGAGTCTGCGTGCCGGCCCCGCGCAGGGGCCGCGCCCGTCCTCTCCGCGTCGTTCCAGGGCGAGTGCGTGTTTCTCTTGTCACCCCTGAGAAGCCTTTGATGTTTGTCTCGTCACTTTGTACATAAGTGTCTTTCCTTTAGTGGTTTAAGATTTTTTTCTTTATCAGTGATTTTAAGCAGTTTGGTTATGATATGCCTTGGTATAGTTTCCTTCATGTTTCTTGTGCTTGGAGTTTTTTGGTTTTTAGGGTTTGTAATTTTGATCAGATTTAGACTATTTTTGGTTATGATTTCTTCATATAGTTTTCCTGTTGCTTTCCTTCTGTGCTCTCCTTCGGGGACTCCAGTTACTCGTGTGTGAGGCCACGTGAAGCCCCAGCTCCCTGAGGCGCTGCTGCGGTTCCATCCGTCTGTGTTGCACTTGGAGGATCTGTTTCTCCGCCTCCACATTACCAGATCCTTTCTTCTGCAGTGTCTGGTCTGCTCTTAATCCCACCCAGTGTGTTTGTTCACTTGAGACATTATGATTTTCGTCTCTAGGAGTTCCACGTGAGTCTCCTTCTTTTTAAAATGTCTTCCATGTCTGCTTACCATCAGGCTTTCTCTGCCTTTGTGAACACATGAAATATGGTTGCAGTAACTATTTTGATGGCTTTGTCTATTAATTCTATGATCTGTATCGTTACTGAGTCTATTTCTGTGGTCAGTTTAGGACTAATCATCCCTCACTTCCTGAGTTCTCTGCCCGATGCCCTGTGAATTGGGAGGTTTTCCCATCTGGACTGTGGAAATAAGTACTGTTCCTGGCCCTGTGCTGGTGTGCAGTCCCGCCTGACGGCCTCTCCGAGGCTCTGTGCGGCTCCCACCCACGCGTGCCGATGAGGTCCCGGCCGGATTCCCCAGGGCTCTCTCTGTGCTGCTGGCTCCTCTCTGGTGCTCTGACCTGCGAGGCCGTCCGCCTTTGCCTCCCAGGACTCCTTGGCTCCTCCTCCTCCACGCAGGGAGTCCGCCAGGCTCGACCTGTCTCCCGCCCTCTGTTACGGTCTGTAAGCGCTCCGGGTGGTCAGCAGGGCCGCTCCAGGGCTCGCCTTGCTTGTTTTCCTTTCTCAGGGGTCACTGTCCCGTGTTGCCTGATGTCCAGGTCTCAGAAACCCTTGGTTCATGTTTGTTTTGCTTGTTTCAGGTCGTTGTGTCCGTCTGGTCCTTGTCACTTCGTCTTGTCGAAGTGGTGGTCAGCATGTGCTCACTGATTTCTAGTTTCCGGTGTGTAAGCCGTTACTGTCATTATATATTTTAAAGCTCAGATTATCCCAGCTTTGGCTTCCATGTCCTTAGTCTCAGTGGCTCAGCTTGGGTTCCTCTTCTGCAGAGTCACCGAGTCTCTTTAGTAATGTTCCCCATTTGCTCACTATCGTGAGCGATGGGCTAGATTTTGTACTGATTTTCCGCAGAACTTTGTGGAGCCCTGTCCAGCCTGCTGCTCAGCGAGCCCTCTCCTGAGAGTCCCTGCATACCGCCAAGCTGGTGTCCCCTTGGGGTGCAGCAGGAGAGCTGAGGGTGCGGGGGGGACTGGAGTTGGAGTCCAGCGAAGGACGCCCGGAACCAGCCCCCGTGACAGCCTCGGAGCTTTTCCCAGCTCTTCACTGCACCTTGACTGGCTGCTCTTTGATTTTAAAGCTACCGGAGTCTGTGGCTGCTGGTCCCCTAGCCTTTTGGTTTCACTTTCCAGGTGGCATGCATCTGGGTCCATAGAGTTCTGCCAGAACACCGACATCGCAAAGTCTAGACCTCAGGTCCAGAGAACCACCACTGTGTGGGAAACATGCAGTATCTGAGCATTACTGTTGGATAGTAATTCACAGAAAATCAATTTTGCAGGGTGGTTTTCTTCTTAATTTTAAACCAGAAGGTCTTTTTCAGATTGTAGTTGTTTTAAATTTAAATTGAGGACATAGCAGTTTTTAAAACTTCTAAGTACTGCCTTTTAGAACTTTTCACTTGTCAATTAAATCATAGGAGGGACTGGATACAGAATTTGAAATTTAGCTCATTCATGGATCAAAATCACATGAGTGTTATTTGAGAGAGACTAAAAATCCAGACAAAATACGGACAGGATAATGAGGAATCTTTCTATTAAAAGTGGGAGAAGTAGATATTTAAATAGTAGCTATGAATTATAGTTTCCAAAACTTTGTAAGCGCCTTGTGCTGAAATGAGATAAGCATCTTGGTTTTAGGTTTTCACTCTGAGTCTGCTAGGTGGGTTTGTGGAGTACATGACAGCTGTAAGCAGAGACAGACAGCAAGGACCCCTTCTGTTTCCCTGCTTCCCTGGAAGAGCGCTGAGGCTGGACTCAGCTTTAGTGCAAGCAGGGTGCTCTCGTTGGCAGGCAGAGCGTTTGGGACTTGGAGTCAGAAGCCACGTTCATTTCTGGGACCAGGCTGGCTCCCCTGTGGATCCATAAGAATGAGAACCACTTTGAGAGCCCTAGATGGTCCCCTTTCCTCGGGTTCGCCTCTGAAGCGGCCTTGCCTTGACACGGCCTGCGAGGGGCTTGGAGGTCGGCTTGGTTCTGGGGCCCCCAGAGAGCCGAGGGGCTGTGAGGGAAACCATGGTGAGACTGGCCTGGGCTTTCTGCGAGTGGCCGCAGCCCTGGGCGGGCAGCCAGCCTGCAGCGGGAGAGGCCGCTCGCCACTCCGTCGCGGCGGGGCCGGGGGCTGGGTGGGACCCCGCAGCGCTTGGGTGCGGGGCCTCTGCCGTACACAGCTGGGTTTCCAGGTCCCAACTCACTAAGCAGATCCTGTGGCTGTGGGCAGCTTGCTCGGCCCTCTGACTCCGCCTCTTCCCTGTGTGTTGGGGGAGCCTCCCTCAGAGCCACTGGTCCACGGGCTGGTGCGGAGCGGCCTGCAGCGCCCGCAGCGGCACCGCGCTGGTCCCGTCCCGAAGCGGTCAAGCGCGGTTGCTGCTCTACTCTTTGTTACTGGACACGTCTTGCCAGAAAACTAGGGTATTGATGAGCCTGCTTTCACGGAGACTTGTTTATTTTCAGGATACTGAAGTGTATAAAGCTGCAGTAAAAGACGACCTTACCAAGTGGCAGAACGTTCTGAAAGCGCATAGCTCGCTGGACTGGTTAGTAGTGGTAGTTGAAAATGATGCCAAGAGGAAAAACAAAACCAACATCCTTCCTCGAACTTCTATTGTGGACAAAATAAGGAGTGACTTTTGTAATAAACAGAGTGACAGGTAAGTGTATCTTTCATTTTTCCTCGTTGGGCTGGAACCTGGATGTGCGTTTACTGGCTCCCGAGTAGGAACAGATACGAACGCTGTGTGCGCCTGTTGTGTGCCTGACCCCTGAGCGTGCGGTGTGTGCTCAGGGAAGGGCCACATCCCTCTCCCCACGGAGTTCTTGGGCTGCCCGCAAGAACGCGCAGGAGCTGCCTGGGACGAGAGGCCCTGCACTCGCAACTGTGGGGCGAACACAGGGCCCGTCTGAAGACAGGGAACGGGTGTCGGCGCAGGAGGGTTTTGAGCGGTCTGTGGCCCCTGTGTGCAGTGGGGTCTCTCAACGATTCTTGGTTAGGGGACCCTGTGTTTTGCTTGTTTACCTAAACACCTAGTGAGATTCCTGAAGCAGAGGTTGTAAGATGCTGACCTAATCTCCTTCAGATCAAGGTTAAGATTGAAAGGGAATCTGAAAGGCTGCTCTAGAGCGTGCACTTACCTTCCCCTCTTGCTTTTTCCCTTCTGGGCCTTGTTCCCTCCTGTGGGCACTGCAGTACCTTGCTGTTCAGTGACGCCGCTCCAGCTGTGCTGGCCAGCGTGTTTCTTAACACCGTGCCCATTTTAGTCTGTACCTCGTAGTTTCGCACTTCCGCTCCCCCAGGTCCGGGGGTGCGGTGGTGAGCCTTATCCCTGTGCTGGAGCGGCGGGGTCAAGTGGCGGAGACGGGTGTTGCTTCACATCCCCATCATCGCACTTGGGGTTGTCATGGTGGCAGATGCTCAGACGGAAGGTTCCAGAGTGTGGCAGGAGCCTGGAGCAGGGGTCTGGCCTGCTCTGAGGGCTGCTGGAGCTGCCCTGAGAAAGCAGTGCTGAGGCTAAGAAGTAAGGGTGCAGAAGGAGGTGAGGGAAGACGTCCGGGGTGCGTGTGGCCGGGAGCACCAAGCAGAGGCCGCCGCGCGGCTGACTCACCTGCGGGCTGCATCCGCGGTGGGGCCGCCCCGTGAGTCCACAGCTCTTCAGGGAAGCAGCCACATGTGGGCTTCCTCTTTCTGTCCCACACGATCCTGGCCACGTAGCAGTGTCCTGGCTTGGCTTTGTCTAAAGTTTGAGTCAAATATTAGTTTGTTGAGCTTACGGTTTATCTGAGGGAAATTTCATGCATTGGACTTGTGGGAAGTTTTTCCTAAAATCTGGTGTTCACAAACTAGTTATCTCAAAGGAAGCAGCTTAACATTCTAACAAGAAGCCCCACAGCTGAGTGTGCTTGCCGCCCTGTGCCCCCGCACGCTGACGTTTCTGTTCTGGGGGAAGCGAGAGCGGACGCCGTGGGCCAGAGCGGAGGGAAGGGAGCCGGCCACCCGGCCTCCCCGCGCTCGGGGCACTGCAGAGGAACCGCGTGTTTGGGGGCTTCACTCAGTAAATAGATAGGCACTAGCGCGGTGTATTCGTCTGAACTTGTGAAAGGTTCAGATTCTGTAGTAAGTTTTTCAGAGTGCTTGTGGGTTACTTTTGTCTGTGTTACAATTTTTATCTCATTGCCGACAGTCTGTTTCTGCTGGCCCATTTAAAACTAACTTGTTTTTAGTGATGCTTCTTTATATTTTAACTTAGAAAAATTTTTAATATTTCATCTCAAGTATTTAAAAATACCGTCTAACATTTTGATCTTCATTAATCTCCTAAGCTACCTTTGACAAATCTGTGTTCTTTTTTTGTCAAATCTGTGTTCTTAAGGTATAGATTTCACTTAATAGAAAATTTTTTCTTTGAACAATAAATGTATTTCTACACCATTATTGTTAGTATATACTATTCTATAATATTAATGCACTGTAAGTTATTTAGATAGTCCTCTGCTGGACTTAGAAGTTATTGCTTACTTACTATTATAAACAACATTATAAACCTCTTTCTAGCTCAGAACTTAATTTACATCTTTAATTATTTCCTTAGGCTAAGTCCCTAAAAGGAAAAGTACTTGGTAAGAGTTTTGTGCACTTTTGAGCTTTTGGGGTGCTGAGACGGGGGCCGTGTGCTGATGGTCCGCGCCCCGGGGGAGGCGGGTCCCAGCCCGCGGCTCCCCGCCACGCAGCAGCTGTGCTCGTCTCCTCATGGGCCCCCGCCGCCCTGCTTTGAGCTGTTTCGGGTTCTCCCTTTACGAGTTAACTGTCTAGGCATGATGTGAGTTTCTGAAGCTGAGCTGTTTTTTTTATTAATAAAAGAGGAGGATCTAGAAACAGTATACGCTGAAGGGCAGAATAGGGGATAGAGAGTGTAATGAATATATTGTCTGATTGGTAAGTACTGGTCACTGAAAAAAATGCTGTTTTTGTGTTTAGTGTTTGTGTCAGTTCCCGTTTTCACCCTCCCCTGTAGGTTCAGGGTGCAGGGTCTGTGTCTGGTCCAGAATAAACGTTGACGAGTGCAGCCCTTGAGAATGCCTTAGGGGCAGACTGCTGAGCTGATGGTTCTGGCAGCTCCCGTCTGAATCATACGCGTTAGCCCTTTGGCGGGGAGCTTGGGAGCGAGCTTTCGGGGAAGAAGCAGTGTCTGGTGGGGTGGAGTGACTGGAATTAAAGCCAGCTACTGGTTTTTGCATTTTCCTCTTGGTACTGATTATTCATTCACCTGGTGGATTGTCCAGAGTATGGGCTGTCTCACCCTTTTTCTCCACTGATGTGTAATTTCATAGGTTTAGTCCTTCCTCCGGGAGGTATGACGGGGCTCAGAGAAAATGAAACTTAGAAATCTGTCGTTTTGCTACTTGCTGGTAGTTCATGTGAAATATTCACAGAGGAGAAGTGTTGAAACTCACAGCATCAACATTTGAAAAGCATTTCTGAGCTCAGATTTATCCGTCTTCTTTCTAGAAAGAAAGGCACCTTTTCCAGCCTGCCGGGTGAACGTGCTGTCTTTTGCAGCTCCGCTGGAAGCACTTGTGCTTTTATGTCTTTGTTGTCTTTACACCGTGATACGGAGTCTTTTCATGGTGAAGGTTTATTATACCTGCAACTTAAGCCACATTCTTCTGGGCCTTTGTTTTTAATGATTTATTAGCCCTGCTTTGAGGAGCTCACGGTCTGGTGGGAGGAGCAGACCAAGAAGGGGAGAAACCAAGCGCAGCGGGAGCGTGAGCCCAGCGGGCCGCGCGGGCCGGCAGCTCGGGGAGCGGGGCTGCCCAGAGGGCCGGTGGCCTGTCGGCCAAGCAGGGTGTTGCAGGGTGAGGGGGGGCCGCTTTCTCTAGGTGGAAGGAGATGGGAGCACCAGGTGCTCCGCAGGCTTGAGTCGGGGGCGGTCGGGATCACAGTGAGACAGCCAGACCGGTCCATGTGGTTGGGGTCCTCGTGCACCGCATTGAAAGATCTAAATTTCAGTCTGTCCATTACAAGGAACCAGAAGAGGTTTTTGAGGATGGCAGGGCGAATGGGGTTTGGGAACTGAGTGTGACATGATCACCGTATGTTAACAGAGAGCCCTGGAAGCAGGGTCTGACACTCAAGACGCGTCAGAAGTCCCTCCCCCTTTCCAGTCCGTTCTTCAGCAGCTCTCAGGAGCAGCACCCACTGCTCATGTGGCATTAGACCAGTTCGTGATAAGCCTTTTCCTGGTCTGATTCCTCACCCCCTGCCTGATGTGTTTCACCAGTTGGAGGGAGGAAGGGGAAGAAGGAGGTCAGTTTGCACCCCAGGAAGGCGGCGGCAGCTGGGCAGTGGTGCTGAGCTCGGGCGTCTCCCACAGAGTCCGCTCATGTCTCTGCAGGTGTGTTGTGCTCTCCGACCCCTTGAAGGACTCCTCCCGAACTCAGGAATCCTGGAATGCCTTCCTGACCAAACTCAGGACATTGCTTCTTATGTCTTTTACCAAGAACCTAGGCAAGTTTGAGGATGACATGAGAACCTTGAGGGAGAAGAGGACTGAGCCTGGCTGGAGCTTCTGTGAATACTTCATGGTTCAGGTATGTGATGAGCCACCAGACTCTGCCGTTTTCTCCTCCTCTCCCTCCTTCTCTCATTCTTTAGGAATAAGGAGCTCTCTTGTGGTAATTCAAACTGACGCAGTTTTAGAACCAACAGACAGTAAACTGGCTAACAGATGATGCTTCGTTCCCTCGGCTTAAAGCAGAGGGTCTGAGACCATCTCCTAAGTGATGATGTTGTCAGCTGCCCGGCCGCTTCAGAGCTTGGCGTCTAGCCTTCTGTGAAACGGCCTCGTCCTCAGAGGATTTCTGGTTCTGCTCGGGTCTTGGGCCTCTGGGCTGTCCACCCTGGACATGACTTGGGTGGAGGGGCCCTAGCAGTGGTGATGGCCCTGAAGGTAAAGACATCTGCCCCCGGCCCAGCACCATGGTTAGGTGATGACTTCTCAGGAGCACTTCCTCTGTGGCTTCGTTTCGTAACCTCGGGTTCCAATAAAAGATTGCTGTAAGCTCGGTTCTTCACTCTAGTTTACAGAGATGCTTAGGTTTTTAAAAATGGTGGTCAATGATCAGACTTTTTCTTTTTAAGAAGAAAAGTCTTGAGTAGATGAAGGGATGTGTAATAGTGTAGTTTGGGGAGGAGACCCTGCTAACATGGCACAGGGTGGTGAGAACGTCACTCTTGGGGACCAGAGTATGTTCACCATGTTTTGACTGAAAAGCATAATTTTCCTATTTTAGTATCACTTGTATATTAATTACTGAAGAAATAATGTACTTTGAATAAATAAAAGACCAATTCTCATTAGAAATTTTGAATTTTATCTCTTATTCTGCTGCTTCTGTCTTGGTATTTGGATGATTTTGGTCACATAAGGGGATTTGAATGTGTTCATCATTCTCTGTGTGATTGACCTGTGACAGCTCTTTCAGATTGCCCTGTCTCTTTACCCTTCATGCTTATTAAACTCACTTTCTAAGAGTAACAAACAAGAAAAGAGGGAGTCTAAATGAACCCAGTGGTGTTGGATTGGAATCTGAGGTCTCAGTGTGGACCCATGGTTGGATGGATGATGGATGGATAGATTCAGAAATGCAGATGTTTGGGTAAATGAGGGTTAGTACATATTCATACGTTTCTTCTAGGACAAATGACAGCTCAGTAGCAGTAGGTTAGTGCCACGACCTTGGTTTCTACACTGCACTCTCCAGCACAAGGTGCTGGGGCTCCTCGTGGAGGGTTAGATTCCAGGGCTGGTGCAGGGGAAATACAGTGTGTTGTAGAACTAGAAAGTAAGAAAGCGTACAAGAAGAAACGGTTTGTCAAAAGAACGAACACACCGCCTAAAGGAGCCTCCTGATCAGGCCGAAGCTGGAACAGCTTGTGCGACAAAGTAAATAATGCTAGAATTGGGCTGTAACCCATGAGGTGAGGTTAATATCCACAGGCTTACACAGATACAGGTAAACAGTTTAAATAAGTAAGTGGAGGTTAAGTCCAGCCCTTCCGTGTAGAAGAATTCCATTTAAGAAGCGTGTGTCTGGGGAGGCAGGGGGACCTGCAGGGACGAGAGGCTGACGGCCACGCCCCCTGCTGCTGACAGGCCAGGGCGGAGTGTCCAGGAATCACTGGGCCTCCTCCCTCTCTCTGGTCCCCTCTCCCCATGCGCACAAAGGTTGACAGGAGCGGTCACTAAGTTGACTTTGACTTCACGTAGCGCAAGTATCACTCATTGCTGCATGCTTTTCTCTGTTTTAATCTTTCATAGCTATGTGTTTCAGCACATTCATTTATGTTTTTGCTTTTTTTTTTTGGACTTTTTTTGGGTAAACAGGAGGAACTTGCCTTTGTTTTTGAGATGCTGCAGCAGTTTGAAGACGCCCTGGTGCAGTACGATGAGCTGGACGCCCTGTTTTCTCAGTATGTTGTCAACTTTGGTGCTGGGGGTGAGTAGCAGAGCTCTAGAAACGGCCCCTCTCTCCGCACAGGCTCCCCCCTCCTCAGGGCCGGGGGCCGCCGCTTAGTCACCCAGCGATGGGCCGTCCTTTGTTGTTTTTGCATGGATTATACAGGCTATATTCCTATGGTTCCTATGGGAAATGAAATGAGAATTGAGAGCTAACGTTGTTTTTAGATAGAAAGTGTCATTTCTGCAGCTCACAGCTGGCTAGTGATGCTTCTGATTCTGTGCCTCCTTGGGAGCGTAGGAGTGGAATCTTCTGTTGAGAGGCTGTCTTTGTAATATTTGAGTGGTCATTGCAGCGAGTCTTACGTGACAATGTTGTGAAGGGCGCTCATCTTTCAAACTGTTAAACGATGTCTTAAGACTTCTGCGAATCCAGCATCAGCACAGTGGCAGAGGGTGAAGCTTCTCGTTGTGCTCGCTGCTTTCTGCTTGACGCTGCTTTTGAGAGAAGCGGCACCGCACCGCGACGCCCGCGGCCTGTAGCTGTCCTC